GTTGCAATCGCACTGCATTGCAATCGCGTGACGCGCGCCAGTAGTTCCGGGGCCTCATCTGCGCCCATCTCCGCCTTGGGCGGGGTGGGGGAACCAAAAGCATGGCGCCCCACCCCTTGGCCCCTTGGGAGGGGACAACAAAAAGTCAGGGGAAGAAAAACACAACGCGGAGGGAACACAGAAAAGCGGAGACCCCCCAGCAACAAAAAAACGCTGGGGGAAAACATCGTTCCCTTATGCCGTCCTTGGAGTTGCTTTTCTCCGCTGAGAAGGCTTGTGAGCGATGCCAATCGAATGCCGTGACCTGGCAGCTGCGGCATTGTAGCAGGAACTGGTCGAAGGTAGTGCTCGTACATGTGCTGGAGCTCGTGCATCCTCGGTGCACCTAGTCCTGCGTACGTCCCCCTGCCCAGTCCGTAGGACCAATGTTCCCACATCCCTGCGTAATGGTCGTCGTCCACTGGCCCTTCTGCCTTGCCTAATGCTGTACCCGTAGTCCACCCCATTTTCTGTAGTAACTCCCTCCCTTTCTTGACTTTGCCCAGGGTAGTGTAGTGCTCTACGTCCTCCTCGTCTTCTCTCTTCTCTGCTGCTGCTATCCTGCGGAGCTCGAGCTGGTTGGATTCGTCGGTGGGGTTCCGAATGTGGAGGGTGGGGTCGAGTAGTAGCCGGGTCATTTCTGTAGGTATCCCCCCTTCTGGCCAGGCCCTTCTTCTGCGCGCTCGTTGACAGTATCGTACCATCGCCCCGTTGTCGCCTTCGACCTGCCCTTGCAGTTCGGTATCGGTCGGTAGTCGTTCGATGGGGTCGGCAACGTGCTGTGCGTGCTCCGCTCGTGTTTCGGCTCGGTCGATCGAATTTTGCACCGAGTCCTCCCTCGGGCGCCGGTCGTCCCAGCTCTTGTTGCCAGTGTTCTTTGGGCCAGCTTGTTTTGGGGGCAAGGTAGAAGCGTTTCTCTTCGGGCCTCTGCCGTTTCGCTGGTTTTGTATTCTCAGTCGGTGCATTTCTGCGAAATTCCCACGTTCGTAGGCCTCCCAAATGCGTTCTACCAGCTTGGCCCTCCTCTCCTCCTCCACCTGTTTTTTAGCTTACTTGAGCACAGCGCTGATTCCTTTGAGCTCAGCTTCTACTTCGTCGTATTCTTCGGCCGTGGCTTCGTCGGTGAGTCGTTGTCGTAAGCCTCTTCGTCGTCGTAGTAGCTGGAGCCGAGTCGCTTTTGCTTTCTTCGTTAGCTCGTCTATCTCATCCTGTCCCTTGTTCTTCACAAGCGTGGTACGCATGGCCTGTCGTACTGCCCCCCCCTTCCGGATTTCCCCGTCTCGTTTTGGCCCACGACATTTCTTGACCCCCTCTGGGGCCTCCAGGGCCCCTCTCCATCGGCTCACAACAGTTTTGGAAGACAAAAGCGACTCGAGCAGCCCAACAGCGTCGATGACGCCCCAAGATTGCCTCAAGACGGCTTAAGAGGTACCCAAGACGCCCCGAGAAACCTGCAAGATGCTCCGCGAGAGGGCCCCAGGAGGCCAAAATTGCAACATTCCCTGATGGAAAACGTACGTTCTCAATACATTCGCTTAGGGGGCCTTCACAGCGTCCAAGACGACCCAAGAGGCTCCCAAGATCGCCCCAAGACGGTCCGTAGCCATTTTGGCTCCAGCGATTGTGGCGCAAGCTATTCTGTTACTGCTCGCACTGATCACCATTCTAGGGCCTTGCCTGCCCGGTGGCTTACCCGCATAGGCGAGCGAGGTTTTCCCGTTTCATCTCGTGCAGAGCCAGATGGCGACCCGTGCCTTGTGTTTTGCGGTGTTCCCTAGTAGGTCCCAGGCAGTATCCGGGGTCAGTTCGCCCCACTGCCTCTATCTCCTGGTCGAGAGTGACAAGGAGTTGCTCCCGCTTGTGTCCGCTGCGGAGGCACTCCATAAGTCCGTCTCTGCACAGACCTTGTTGTATATGGTGCCGAGTAGGGAAGGAGGAGGTGGCTGTCGGTGCTTGTAGCGTAAGGCCTATGGGTAAGTGGTCTCTGTGTCCTCGCGCTTTTATCTTTTGGAGTCATTTGCCTGAGAGGTGTAGTGCCGCGCATTGTTTTACAAGCCCCAATGCACCAGTCGGTATGGCTGTGTGGTCTACTCTGCTGGTGTGTCCCGAGAGTCCGTAGTAAGTTGGTCCTACACTGTAGTGGGTGGTGGCTACGCTGAGGTCGCTTGTCTGGCAAAAGGTTTCTGTAGCTTGTGCCGTTGGCGGTCTCTACCTTTGGCTGCTGTCTATCTATGGTAGGACCTTTGCTGCATATGATTGTACCGCCATAGTGACGCTGGCACCCCAAGTCACTGTTCACGTCTCTTCCTAGTCTCCTCCTCCTCCTCCTCCTCCTCCTCCTCCTCCTCCTCCTCCTCCTCTGCCTCCTCCTCCTCCTCCTCCTCCTCCTCCTCCTCCTCCTCCTCCCTTGTGCGACACCCTAACTTGTCGGTACGTTGTTCCGACCACCCTGTTATGCTGTCTGCCAGTGCTGCGCAGTGTGGCACCCGCGTGGGAGCACAGTGGTGCACGACAAGGGCGTAGTCGTACCCCCTGGCAGCAGTGCGGACTCCTGAAGCTCGTCCCGGCAGGTATTCTTATATCTCTCTCTATGGTTGTCCCGCAACTCTTTTTTGACTCATTGGCCTTTTCGCGCCCCAAACTGTAGTAGGACGTGTGAGCGTAAGTCTGAACACTGTACAGCCTCTAGCCCTGCCCATCTGCACGTGCCACACAGGAATGCTATGTCCCAGCTGTGTAGTTCCGTACTTCTGTCTTCGAGGCGCTCGTTGTTGCCCGCTTCCAACGGGCTGTAGTAGCAGATCCTCATCCGAGGCCAGGTCACACGGTCGTCGCCACGAGTGCTCCCCAGTCCCCCTGCCCCCGAGGCGAGCGGGTGAGGGGCGCAAAAGTCACTGCTGTACGATTGAACGTGAGGTACGGTCGGTATGCTTTTGACCCCTCAAACAGCGACCTAGGAGGAGGAGGCGGAGGAGGAGGAGGAGGAGGAGGAGGAGGAGGAGGAAGAGGACGACGAGGAGGAGGGCGCGCGGAGCCGCGGGATGGTTATTTCTGCCGCGACTTGCTGGATCGCGGCCGAGCGGTCCCAGGGGCCCGCGCGGGTCTGGGAGGGGGGGGGGGGCATTGAACGGGAGAGGTACCTGCGGGCCTAGAAGGACCACGAATACTGTATTGGGCCCACTGTCGGGGACAGAGTCGTCCCCCCAGAATCGGCCCCTGCAGGCCTGTTCTGGGTAACCAGCGGGCCCAGGCCCCCGCGCGGGGAGGGCGGAGTGGCTCAGGGCGCCAGCGCAGACCTCCAACGTGCTGCACAGAGGTGGTGCAGGATTTTCGGCCTCCGGGGACCCTCGCTGGGCCCCCAGGTCGTCAACAAGACTGCTCAGGATGGAAAGCTGGCCCTGGGCTGAAGGGTCGGGCCCTCCGGGGACTCTTGTTTCGAAAAGCCAGTGCAGCGGATCAGGTCAGGCAGTGCCAACGGCCGGCACCACTGGTGGGGTCGCCAGCTCCTCGCGAGGATCGGGGTTCGGGGATCGAGGATGTTTCCGGCGGATCTTGGGCGTTCGGGGGGTCTTGAGGGGTCGGGAGGTCCCGTCCTCCTCGAAAAGGTGGCGACTCCGTCAGTGGTGTTCCCCCCTCGCGTTGCCTCGAGGTGGGGGGGCGTTAGGGGAGGGACTCAAAACTCCAACGTCTTGAGGACAGCAGTCAAGCGGAGGTTCTTCTGCGCATCGTCTGGAGACCAGTTGTGGGCCCGGGGTCCATCAAGCATCTGCCCACGACGACAACAAAACAGTTCTTGGGATGGGGCCGAGAGGTTCGGGGACCACGATTTGAACAACATGTCTGTCAGCACTCTGGATGGGTAATACGTCGCTGTGCCATTTGTTCCGACGCGGGGCCTTGCGTCTTGGGGAGGGCGCCTCGGCCACCAGGGCAAACGCCGCCTCGGGTACGGTGGGCTCGCCATGGTGTTCGCCGCGGCGCCGGCGTCGTCTGCCTGGGGCGCGGGGCGCAGGGCTTGCCGCGGGTTTGCCCTGGTGTCGGCGTCGTCCACTCGGGCCCGTCGAGAGCAATCGGCGCGGCGACATATACGTGGTGTCGCTCTCCCGTCAGGATTTTTTGTCGCTGGTTCTGTCCCACCATGCTTCGGCGCGACGCGCGGAAAGAAGCACGAACGCCTGAGTGCAAGCGCTGGCTTGTGAGAAGAAGGCACGACGCCGGAGGCATGGCGAGGGGGGAGCAGGGAACAGCGAGGGATGGAGGAGGGCGGGACGGAAGCGGGGAGAGACGTCGAAGAGCGCATCATTTGATTATCCATCATCGGGGACGCTTGTCCCAGGCGGCTGGAAAGTGTGCAGCCAGACGCGCCGCCGCAGGGCCGTAGGAGCATAAACTTTCCAGCCGCCCTGGGACAGGCGTCCCCGATGGCGTAACGAATTGTTTATCAAGCCCGCAGAGCGGGAAACACGGCGGGGCCCCAGGGGGAAACTCGCACGCAGATTTGGGAATCAGTGGGTGTTTGAGGGTGTGGTTTCGACGAGAGCTGGTATCAGTCGTTGCAAATTGTCCTGGGGCCATCTTGGCGTCTATTGAGGGGCCTTGCGGTCTTGGGATCCCGCTGATGGCCTTTGGGCGTCCATGGGGCGCGGCGTTCCGTGAGGGGCGTGCCAAATGGAGGTCCGCTTGCGCAGTCCTGCGAGGCTAGCCGAGAGTCTCTGGAAGTCGATGGGGCAGCATGTCAGGAGTGTGCCGAATCGAGGCTCCTTGAGCAATCTTGAACTCCCAACTGACAGCATCTGCGGGTCACCGCTGGGGGCTCGCTCGCGCGCGCGACGGCGACGAGAGGAATTCGCGCGCGCGGCCCCCGCGCGCGCGGCACGGGCGCGCGCAGCACGCGCGCGCGTGACTGAGCGCGGCACGAGTGCGCTCGTGCCGCGCTCGTGCCGCGCTCGCGCCGCGGCGAGAGGACGCCCTTCCAGGCGTCGCAGCCCTTCCTGCCGGAGCTGGACATGGACGGCGGGGGGCCGCCCCCGCTGGACGGCGGGGCTGCCGCGGAGCAGGGCGCCCGGCCGGGCGAGGACCTTTTTGGGGGCGGCCCCGCCGCGCAGCCGTGGGGGCCCGAGGCTGCTGCCGAGAGGCGTCTGCTCGGCGTCCTCGCGCCGCTGGGGTCCGTCCCACCGCGCCTCGGCGCGGCACGCGGATCGGATACACGCGCAGGAGGGGCCCGTGGCCGGAGGGACAGCTGGCTGCGGGCCCACGGAGAGGTCCATCCGGCAGTGGCGGGCGCGCTGGGACTCTTGGCCCCCCCCCGTGGCCCCCTGGAGCCGCGCAGCAGAGGCCACTCCTGCCCGGGGTCCTTCAGCTAGCTGAGGCACGTTCCGGTACTCCAGCCTCGGCGTCCCGAGCATCTCCGGGCCTCCCGAATCCCGCGCAGCAGAGCGGCACGCTACCAGAGCTTGCAAGGGTCGGCGTGCCGCAGGGGCTGCCGCCGCGGCGCGGTAATAGCGGCACTTCCCCACCGTAGAGGTCCTGCGACCCGGACGTCTGAGTTTTTGTTTGTGCTTCCCAACCATCTTGCGGTGCTGGGTCCCCGTTTTGACGAGACAGCGCCTCGCGTCCCGCCTCTCCTCTACAATTACACAATATGAAAATACTCTCCCACTTCACCTGATGGCGTCCCGAAGATGGCCGACCCCCCCCGCGTATTGTTTTTTACACAGGATTCCCGGGAAACGGGTTTTCGCCTGCGTTTTTTTTCAAAATGCTGCTCTCGCTGAGGCGCCGGCATCATTTCTGCTCCCGAATCGTTCCGAATCGTGCTCCCGCTGCAGCGTGGGCCTCATTTTCGGATCGGTGTTTGGCCTCCGTCGTTCAGGATGGCGTTCTCGCCCCAGCGCGGGCCTCTTTCTCGCGCGCCCATCCGCCCGCCACCACCGCGCCGCACCACCACCACCACCACCACCACCACCACCACCACCACCACCACCACCACCACCACACCACCACCACCACCCACACCACCACACACCACACACCACCACCACCCACCACCACCACCACCACCACCACCACCACCACCACCACCACCACCACCACCACCACCACCACCACCACCACCACCACCACCACCACCACCACCACCACCACCACCACCACCACCACCACCACCACCACCACCACCACACCACCACCACCACCACCACCACCACCACAACCACGCACACACGCACGCACGCACGCACGCGCACCACCACCCACTACGCACGCGCGCGCGCGGAGCCACAGGTCCGCTACGACACGCGTCCGCGGATAGAGAAAATCAGCGCCATGGTAAGGGATGGGAGGGGAGGGGTAGGACGTCAGATATGACGCGAGCGCACCTAGCTTGGCCCCCCCCCTCCCACCCTTGCCTCTGCCCTCCGCATCTCAACATCTTTGACGCACACCTCACGCGTTTCGTGGCCCCTTATGAAATTCCACCGAAGGCCCCGTTCGCATGTGGGCGTCACGACCGTTTCGACACGCCTCTCGCACGTCTAGTGGCCCCGTAGGGAGCTCCACCACAGGCCCTAGAGGGAGCGTTCGCTTGTGGGCGTCACGCCCGTTTCGGCACACCCCTCACGCGCTTCGTGGCCCCAGAGGGAGCGTTCGCCTGTGGGCGCCGCGCTCGTTTCGGCACTACCTCAGAGGCTCCATGAGGAGCTCCACTGAAGGCCCGAGAGGGAGCGTTCGCATGTGGGCGTCGCGCCCGTTTCGCCCCCCCCCCCCCCCCCCCCCCCCCCCCGCCCCCCCTCCCCTCACGCGTTTCGTGGCTTCATAGGGAGCTCCACCGGAGGCCCTAGAGGGAGCGTTCGCGCCCGTTTCGGCACACCTCTCACGCGTTTCGTGGCCCCATTGCGAGCTCCACCGAAGGCCTCAGAGGGAGCGTTCGCATGTGGGCGGCATGCCCCTTTTGGCATACCCCTCACACGTTTCGTGGCCACATATGGAGCTCCACCGGAGGCCCTAGAAGGAGCGTTCGCATATGGGCGTCACGCCCGTTTCGGCAACCCTGTCACGCGTTTCGTGGCCCCATGAGGAGCTCCACCGAAGGCCAGAGAGGGAGCGTTCGCATGTGGGCGTTACGCCCGATTCGGCACACCCCTCACGCGTTTCGTGGCCACATTGGAAGCTCCACCAAAGGCCCCAGAGGAAGCGTTTGGATGTGAGTGTCACGCCCGTTTCGGCACACCTCTCACGCGTTTCGTGGCCACATTGGGAGCTCCACCGAAGGCCCCAGAGGAAGCGTTCGCATGTGAGTGACACGCCCGTTTCGGCACACCTCTCACGCGCTTCGTGGCCACATTGGGAGCTCCACCACAGGTCCCAGAGGGAGCGTTCGCATGTGGGCATCGCGCCCGTTTCGGCACTACCTCACACGTTTCGTGGCTCCATAGGAGCTCCGCCGAAGGCCCCAATGGCACGTTCCGCATGCGCCCCCCCTCCCCCATCTTTTCGGTGTGCCCCTCGCGCGTTTCAGGGGGGGATTCACCGAAGACTATACTCACAGCTGCGGTACTCACAATTGCACATAGTTTGATCCTTCGCCAGGGTATTTGTTTTAGCAGTCCAGGCTTTTGTCCTTCATTTCGGACCCAGGGATCGTTTGTTGGTGCCCAGAGGTCAGCAACATCGAAGCTGGGGCGACTCATTTCCCCATGTAAGTGGTTGAGGCCGCTGGGGCCTCGGAATCAAACCATCTCATCGTCGGACGTCTGCGGACACATCCTACAGCCAGGCAGGAAAACCTGTGTGTCCTGGTTCCCCTCCCTTTCCCGTCGCTCTCTCCCGCCGCTACACCTGCATGCATCATCGCATCGCTCCGTATTTCGCTGCAGCAGTTTGGCGCCAGGCCAGTACCCTGCGGGTGAGCCATCCCTCTGCTTGACAACACGGATCGTTTGTTCCGGCGTCTGCTGCAATGGGCGTGATTTTGTTTGTGCATCTTGGTTTGGGGTCGTCAAAGAAGTCCGTGGATCGATCGGTCCGGCTGCGTCGCAGGGGGCTGCGTTCGGTCGGTTCGGCTCACTCGGCTGCTGTGCCGTTGCTGCGCCGCTGCGCCCTTTGCGGGCTGCCTGCGGCCTCTCCGTGCTGGTCTTTCGCTAGCGGCCCTGCCGGTTTTTTTGACCTCGGTGTCGCCGTGTTCCGCCCCGGCCGTGCAGGAGGCCTCGGGCGGACCGCGGGGGAGCGTCGGGAGGCCTCGTGGGCCCCCTCGGGGTCCCCTCGGAGGCCCCGTGGGCTCCTGGCCCGGGAGCTCCCACGGAGGCCTCGTGGGGGAGAGTCCTCCGGGGGAAGCCTCGCGGGAGCTCGAGGGCCTCGGCGCCGGTCCGAGGCAGCCGAGGGCGGGCGGGAGGGCGGCGCGAGGCGGCGGGAGCAGCACGAGAGGGCGGGCTCCGCCAGCGGATGCGGGCGGAGAAGTGGGAGGCGTCCCCTCTGCGAGGCGCCGTGTTTTTTTTTTTTTGATCCGGGCTGTTCTAGGCCTCCTAGATGGGGTCCGAGTAGATGGGGTCGGAGGATCGCGCCGCATCGCCGATGCATCGCCGATGCTGCTCGATGTGAAGCCCGATTTGCTTCACGCGGACGCCGCCGATGCATCGCCGACGTCGCCGATGCATCGCCGGTGCATCGCCGATGCATCGCCGATGCATCGTTGATGCGGTGCGATCCTCCGACCCCATCTCCTCGGACCCCATCTAGGAGGCCTCTAGCTGTTCAGGAGTCGGAGTCGGCCAGGTGGGGCCCTTCCAGGTGGAGAAGCCACAGCATGACACAACAGAGCGCACGCCACGGCTTATACCGTTGCTGCTTGGTCTTTCCAGGGTCTGCCTGGAGGGCCTCGGGGGAGCTTCTCGGATGCCTTCAGGGCCCTCCTGGGGATCTCTTCGGTGTCTTCGGTCCGTCTCGATGAGTCTTGAGGCCGTCTGGAGAAGTCTTGGGTCAGTGTTGGGGGTGTCTTGGGGTCTGGGGGAGCTTTTGATCTTGATCCTTCTGGGGTCTTCCCGAAGCGACCCAGGACTGTCTTGTGGCCGTCTTGGGAGCAACCTGGGCTGGGTCGGTCGTGTTTCTTCTTGAGGCCTGTTTGAGCCCTCCAGAGCGAGAGAGCGAACATAGCTATTGGGAAGGCCTTACGGCCAGTGCCCTCGACCCTGAAGGGGGACGACGCCGACGACGACGACGACGACGACGACGCTGACGACGACGCTGACGCTCTGGAGCCCTTGTTGGGGCTCTCTTGGGAGCCTATTGGGCTATCTTTTGGGGGCCTCTTCGGAGATTTTTTGGGACGCTCCGTGGCCACTTGGCGACGCTTCGGAGCGGGTCTGAGGGCTCCGGGAGGCATGCGGGAAAACACGCGGCACCCCGCAGCAATAGACAAGAGTGAGGAGGGCATTTCCGGGGGGCGGGTCTGGGAGGAGGGGGGGATGGTGGTGGTCCCCTCGTCCACAGGGTGGAGGCGGGGGGAGGGGTCGTCCTGAGTTCCCCCTCTCCACAAAGGGGCCGCTCCCCTGTCCCCCTTGTCAGGGGGCCGCCCAGGGGTGATGTCACGACCCCCCCCCAGGACCCGCCCCCCCCCCGGGACCCCCATCGTCCCCCTCCCCCGCGGACCCCCCCCCCTCGCCAGGGAAGGGGTTCGAGGGAAGGAGCTTCTCTTCGAGTCGACGTTGTTTGATGTCCGTATGGCTGGATCGCTTGAGGCAGAGGGCCCAGGGAGAGGGGGGAGCGGCGATGGCGACGACGACGACTCCAACAGAGAGACGTCTCACACACGCCGACAGGGTCGGCGGATTTGCACATAGCACATGTACCGATATAAACACATCGGGGTTTTGGGGCCGTGTTCGGCCGTCCTGAATTCTCAGGGTTTTCTCTAGGCCCTTCCAGGACGCTTTTGCAGGCGTCCTGCTCGCCTGGGAGAGCTTACGCAAGAATCCTGAGGCAACCTCGAAAGGCCAGGGAACTGACGGACCCCCTTTCCCCCAGGTGTGGGTTTCGGTTTTGGTGCCGCCGCCCTCCCAGTAGACAGCAGGAGTACACTCGGCGTGGGCGCGGGTGTTCAAGACTGATGACCCCCGATGTCGGGGCCCCTTTCGATCCGATCGACCCGATCCGATCGACCCGACTCGATATCGACTCTGGCCGGCTCGATCCGATTTGGTTCCGATCTATTCTTCGCCATGCGGGAAACAGGGCCTGAGCAAAACGGGCCCCACGGTTTCCCAAAGGTTTCGGGCCCAGGGGCCCTCACGGGGCCCCCGGACAGTCAAACAGCGACTCTGGATGAAGAGCTGGTCCTTCGGGAAGGCCCTGGGGTCCATGCCCGGTTTCCATCAGGACCCAATGCCTCCATGGTCAGCTCCGTAGGCTCAGTGCGGCCCGATACTCGCATGGCGCTGCCTGTGTGAAGTTCGGTCGTGTCTGAGGATTGGGTCCCATGAGTTTGCTCTAGCCAAGAATAGGTTTCAATGCTCAGTGCTAGCTAAGCTCTGTGATCTCCGAGGACGTTGCTGTGCCGACCGCTCCAGGGACCCCCGACCGCGGAGAGCGTCCAGCATTGTGACCCCGGGTCACGCAGTGGCAGAAGCCAGGGGTTCGCGCCGTCACGGCAGGAGGCCTGCTGTACAGTGGAGGCCCATGCCAAGAAGCACCCTGCCCGCCTCCAGGGTGCCCTGGGTTTCTTTGGTTTCGATGGCTTTGCTACGGAAAGCGTGACGTTCCCACGCCAAAAATCCATGGACTTCCTGGGGTCTCAGGGTTGAGTTTCTTGTGAAAGGTTTCCTGTGGACTGGCCTCCACTGTGTCCTGAGCTGCGCATCCCGAGAGTCGGGTGGGTGGTAACTTGTAACCCACACGGGGGGTAAAGAGAAGGGTCCTAAAGTGGCCCCTTGTGGAGCCAGTTGGTGCCCCCAAGGGGCCCTGGGGGCCCCTTTGAGGCCTTTCTCTTTACCCCACATGTGGGCCAGCCCCCCATTGGTTACCCCCCGCCCGAGAGAGGCTGGGCCCCTGGACGGCTGCGAGTCGTTCCTCGACAACCTTTTTCCCTCGGCGCTGGTCGGGCCTGGTCCGGCGTGGGGCTCCTCTTGGGAGGGGGCGGCGAGCCGCCCACAGGTGGCCGGCTGCGGGAGCTCCGCAGCGCCCCTTCGGCGCCCCGGTCTTCTTCGCCACCAGCCTTGTGCGGAAGTGGTCCGTCTGCTGCGCGCGCCCCTCTTCTTCTTTTTCTTCTTCCTCGGCTTAGTTTGTGTGCTGTTTGGTCTGGCGCGTCCCGTCCCCACGGAGGGCATTGTGCCGGGAGCGGGGGGCCCTGCGCAGCGAGGTCGATGCACGCGTCATTGCGTGCGCTCGTGGAGCGAGCTTGGCACATATTCTAATTCGTTCCCCGCGCTTTTCAAGCGGACATGTGGGCCAGTTGTCAAGGTGTTGACGCGCTCTCTCCTCCTCCTCCTTCTCCTTCTCCTCCTTCTCCTTCTCCTCCTTCTCCTCCTCCTCCTCCTCCTCCACAAACAAAGTCTGACCTGGCTCACGGGCTCACAGCCTGATCCAGCTCAGCATGCAGCCCAACATTGCCTGCCCGATCTGGTCTCGTGGTCCCCCCTCAAGCCTGGCTTGCTGACATCGTTACTTGCGGTCTCGTCCAGGACTGGGGGCCAACGATGCACCTCGGCGGCGGGCGAGGGGGGAGGTGAGACAAGAATGATTCCGTTCCAGAGCGTTCTGGAACGCTCTGAGCAGGCCGCGGCGCCATACGCATCCTCCAGACCCGCCGATTCTCAGAGGTTCTCGATGTGTATCGGTCCGGTTGTGTCTCGCTCTTGCCTTCGTCTCAGAGACGTGGCTGACGCCGCCCGAGCCTCAGAGCTCCTGCCGGCCGGCCGCGTCTGCGCTCCCCCCGCAGCCTCCCTGCGCCCGCGCCCGGCCCAGGAGCGGCAGGGGCGCTGCACGCCTTCCAGGCTCGTCCCGGGCGCGTGGAGGCTCGCGCGGGTCAGGGGCAACGTTAGGAGGGAGGGAGCAGGGTGGTGAAGGAGGGGGGGATGATGATGATGATGATGATGATGATGATGATGATGATGATGATGATGATGATGATGATGATGATGATGATGATGATGATGATGATGATGATGATGATGATGATGATGATGATGATGATGATGATGATGATGATGATGATGATGCTGATGCTGATGCTGATGATGAGGATGAGGATGAGGATGAGGATGAGGATGAGGATGAGGATGATGGAGATGATGATGATGATGATGTCAATGATGATGATGATGCTGATGATGATGCTGTGATGATGATGATGATGATGATGATGATGATGATGATGATGCTGATTGATGATGATGATGTTGATGATGATGCTGATGATGATGATGCTGATGATGCTGCTGATGATGATGATGATGATGATGATGATGATGATGATGATGATGATGATGATGATGATGATGCTGATGCTGATGCTGATGCTGATGCTGATGCTGATGCTGATGCTGATGCTGATTCATTCATTTATTCACATCATTGGCGCCGATAGTTCGAATGAGTACATCTCGCTGAGAGAACAGAGTGCAACCAAGATATCTGAACAACGGTGCGATGTCCATGCCCTTCTGGCGGTCCAGGAGTCCCCACTCCTTGTCCGTAGACTCGTAGCCGACAGACGCGCAAGCGTCCCAGCCTGAGTCCCACGCCATCCGACGTATAGGGATGGTCGCGGGAGCCCGAGTGCAGGGCCGAAAACGGGTCGAAGGAGGTAGCCCATTCGAGTCTCATACGACTCGTTTCGGACAAATACACTGCTGCAGAGCCTCTAAGCCCTCGAAACAGATCGACGCACACGACGTGCGAAAGTGAAGCTAGGAAGGTCAGCCGTATTCCGAGGTCGTGCGCGGATCGAGTCTCATTGATGCAGAAAAGACACCGAGAGCAAGAGAGAGAGAGAGAGAGAGAGCGAAAGAGAGAGAGAGAGAGAGAGAGAGAAAAAAACAGCGAACACGAGGAAGAGGGCAAGAGCAAGAGGGCGAGACGCGAAAGCAATACAGAAAATAATAAGAGGGAAGCAAGCCTCCTGCTGCGGTACCTCATTTGCGGCGCCCTGTGAACTGCGCGGGTGTGTCTAAGTTGAAGCCAGATGTTCGCAGGGATGCGTCGAACAGAAGCTAGAACAGTCCTTTGCGGCCAAGCCACGAGTTGAATGATGCGCTTGGTCGTGACAATTTCCACAGCTGCGTTTACATGGCTCCGCGGTACATCATGCCGAACGCGGGATAGGAGCTGCAAAGGTCAAAATGACCACTCCCAGCGGTTGGCTTAGCCATCCGCCGCAGGGCGATTTTGTGCGTGGCAGTACTCGGGAGCACTACCAGGGAGGCCAGACACCCCTCACAAGCCTTCCCTTGCTCGCGGAACTCAAGTCCGCGAGGTGTGCCGATCAGGATGCACCCAATGACAGCCTTCCCAGTAGGAGTCGTGACCGCACCCCCCGATGCGGCGAGGACTATAAAGTCAGGGCACTAGGTCTACACTCCCTGGGTCGGCTGCCACGGACCGCCGTCACGGCACACTTGCGTCTGCTGGAGGCCCCCTTTACCTCCTTGGCCTTGATGCCCTCCGCCGCCTCTGGGGAAAGACGGCCGTCGACAGATACTGCCAGCATCAAGTTACCCCTGGCCGCCACGAGGATGCTTGCAGTCCGACTTTTCGGCCAGGATCATGCCGAACGCCATGTGCTTGCCGTAACTAGGGTCACACTTCACGTGCATGGGTGCGGGCTCGATGATTTCCTCCGGTGGCAGCTGCGCTTGGTACGCCGTCTCCGCAGAAATCCTGTGTGCGTAGATCGAGGGCATGAAGTGGATGCACGGGTAGGGCACCACATTGGTCTGGAACTCGGTAGTGTCCACGTTCAGGGCGAGGCGGAGCGGGGACAGTAGGTGGGAGGGAAGAGAAACAACTTCAGAGTGCGCTGTTGCCGCCTCAACTACGTTTGATTCGATATGCGGCTATGCTGATGCTGATGATGGTTGTGGTGATGCTGATGATGGTGCTGCTGATGATGCTGATGCTGATCCTGATGATGATGATGATGATGATGATGATGATGATGAGGATGATGATGATGCTGATGATGATGATGGTGCTGCTGATGATGTTGCTGATGGTGATGTTGTTACTGATGTTGGTAATGACGATGAGGAGGATGCTGATGATGCTAATGATGATCATGCTGATGCTAATGCTGCTGCTGGTGATGATGACTAATGATGCTGCGGATTATGCGGATGATGATTCGGGTGATACCGCTGATGCTGATGATGCTACTGCTGATGATTATATGATGCTGATGATGACGATGCTGATGATTATGCTGATGCTGCTGACAATGATAATGCTGATGATGATTATGGTGATGCTGGTGCTGATTACGATTATGATGATGACACTGATGATGGTGCTGATGCTGCGGGTGATTGTGTTTATGATGATGCTAGTGATTATGATGATGCCGATGATGATGATGACGACGATCAGGATGATGGTGATGACGATGATGATGGTGATGATGCTGCTGATGATGATGATGATGGTGATGCTTCTGCTGCTGCTGAGGATGATGCTGATGATGATACTGGTGCTGATGCTGGTGCTGGTGATGCTGGTGATGCTGAAGATGGTGGTGGTGGTGATGATGATGCTGATGGTGATGATGGAAGTGATGATGATGATGATGAGGATGCTGATGATGATGATGATTATGAGGATGATGATTATGATGTTGATGGTGTCGATGATGATGGTGTTGATGATGCTGATGGTACTGCTGCTGCTGCTGATGATGATGATGCTGATGATGATGATGGCCATCATGGGGATGATATTGTTGATGATGATGGTGCTGATGGTGATGGTGGTGGTGGTGAGGAGGAGGAGGAGGAGGAGGAGGAGGAGGAGGAGGAGACGGAGGAGGAGGAGGAGGAGGCGGAGGAGGGGAGGAGGAGGAGGAGGAGGAGGAGGAGGAGGAGGAGGAGGAGGAGGAGGGAGGAGGAGGAGGAGGAGAAGGAGGAGGAGGAGGAGCAGGAGGCAGAGGGGGGGAGGAGAAGGGTGACCGGGACCAGATTAGGTGCATGATGCATCATTTGTATTGGGGATGGCCTGACCCCCAATCGCACATTCATCGCCGACGCCGTCGACGACGGCGGCGGCGACGGCAACAGAGGGGACTGCGGCAAACATGACGGCTGCGGCGGCGACGGCGATGGCGACGGGGAGGGACGACATCGACGGCGGTGGCGGCGACGGCGAGAGAGAGAGAGAGAGAGAGAGAGACAGAGAGAGAGGGAGAGAGAGAGAGAGAGAGAAATCGGACAAGTAGACGAGCGTCTCGTCGACATCTGGCTACTGCGGTAGCCAAGACCGCCATGGCACGGTTAGCGGTGGTGCCCACCTTGGGGTACGGGGGACGTTGGAACAACCACCCCCAGCGCAAAGCAACTAAAGTGAATGGCGGGGTGCTGAGCAGGCGATTCGCCACGTCTCTCGGCGCCCCTTGGTAAAAATGGCCCAGGTCGGCAAAGCCCCAGTTGGCGGCCAGAGGGCAATGCCTAGGCCGCTAAGCGGCTTGCTGGAAACGGGGCGTCCCCTGTCCCCACAGCCAGGCACCGGTGACGTGTGGCCGCGCGGGGATTCGGGCTGGCGTGCGGGAGGGCCGACAGGGTAGGTCGGGGGCCCTGTGCGGACTTGCGCGCGCGGCCTTAGGAAGGTCGTGCAGCGTAGGGACCGGTGCCGCTCCATCATGTGATATGTTGGCAGGGATATATATATATATATATATATATATATATGCTGCTTCACTGTGAAATGAAATGCAGCGTCAGAGAGTGGCCGCAGGTTCAGTAGTTGAAGGTCTCGGGGCTTCAAACGACGTTCAAACCTTTCCGTATCCATTTAAGCTCGAGAGCTTGTGCTGAATTGAGGCTACCACGGGCGGTCCCCGGCGGGGGATGCAAGCGGCGCTGGCCGAGGCTCTGGTGCGGGAGACGCTGCACTGGGTCGGCCTCGCGCAGGTGCTTGTGTCGAGTCGGTGCCCCGAGGTGCCGGCCTGCCCGCCGATCCCGTCGTGCCCAGCCCTGCCAGAGATTCCCAGCTGCCCGGCCTGCCCGGGTGCGCCGCCGTCCCCTGCGCGGCCGTCCGCGCCGCCCATCTCGGGCGGCTGGGCAGTCCCCCTGGCGGCCTTCAGCTTCGGGGGCCTCTGGTCGCGCTCGTCTTCCTGGCCGTCGGGCGCTGGGGCGGCACGAGACGGTCGGCATCGGCGACGCCGGCGCCGGGCCTGGAGGATGGCCGCGCTGGCGGCGCCTGCACTCCCGCCCCCAGCCCTGGAGGAGTGGGCGTTCGTGCTGTACACAGTGGCGGGGCCCCCGGTGTATCGCCAGCGGCGGGTGCTGGGCTGCAGGCGCGCAGCGTGCTCGGCGACTGAGCTTGGGCCTGTGATCATCGGAACTCCGGACCTAGATGTGTACGAGGAGGACTACAGGACGGGGTCCCTCGGCGTTGATGTGGCACGGGTCGTGTTCAGCAGCGAGCGCTGGCCGCCCGCTGCTACCGTGCCGCGTGCCCAGGTCTATCGGTTCAGGGACGAGCCCACCGGCCTGGAGTACGCGGCGATGAGGGGAGCGGCCCGCGTGGAGGCCAACCGGCTCTGGGCCGCCGCGGACGTGGCTGCTGGGGGTGCTGGGGGCCCGATCCCGCTGAACGAGTTCGTGCCGTTCGAGGCCATCGCCGGCGTGGTGGCAGAGCTCGGAGCCGCGGCGGGGCCGGCGCCCCAGGGAGCTGGGGCGGGCCCGGCGCTGCCCCCAGTGTATCGCCGCGGGTCCTGCGCCTGGCGCCGCGCCCGCCGTCGAGCCGGCCGCGGCCGTGGTGCCTGCGCCGCCTGCGGCCGTCACGGCACAGGCCGCGGGCTCAGGCC